AAGCCAATCTGGAAACGCTACACACTGTGCAAAGCACATTCCAAAAAAAAAAAAAAAAAAAACCCATTATGCAATCAGTGAACATAGTCATAATTCTCAATGGGAGCAGCAATGAGTTGGCAGCACAGAGGACATTCACACCACTAGAACTGTCCTGCCGGGTACTGGGGTGGCAAAATGTGTGATCAGTTACTAGGTGTGTGTCAAACCCCACAAAGTGCACGAGTTCAGTGCAGTGTGAGCAAGGTCTGATGGTGCACTTATCTGCTATCCCAGAGTTCAAGAGTCTGAAGAAGGAGGATAGAGAGTTTGAACAGCACGACAGTGTTTTAGAAACAAAGCAATGAGGCTAGAAAGACAACCCAGAATTTTACAACAGGTACTGCTCTTCCAGAGGACCTGAGTTCAGCTCTAGTACCCAGATCAGGCAGCACACAACAGCCTGTAACTCCAGCTCATACTCACATACAGGTGTGTACACACATATAATTTTTTTTTTTTTTTTGGTTTTTCGAGACAGGGTTTCTCTGTAGCTTTGGAGCCCGTCCTGGAACTAGCTCTGTAGACCAGGCTGGTCTCGAACTCACAGAGATCCGCCTGCCTCTGCCTCCCGAGTGCTGGGATTAAAGGCGTGCGCCACCATCGCCTGGCTATATAATTTTTTCAAAAGAATGAAAAAACAAAGAAAATTATTTTTAAAGACATCTATTTATTTTATGCTTGTATGGGTGCCTGGATGTATTTATGTGCCCCATGTACATGCAAAAGTCCTGGAAAACAGAAATTGGATCCTCCAGAACTGGAGTTACAGATAGTTGTGAGCTACGTGTAGGAGCTGGAAACAATATCCAGATCTTGTGCAAGAGCAGTAAGTGTTTTCAACTGCTAAGCCTTCTCTCCAGAACTCTCACCCCACCTCTGCCATCCAGAAAATTCTAAGAAGGAAGCTTTAGCGGGTGGACCTTTTGCATGAGACCCAGAAATGTAGCAGTTCTACGGCAAGCATGAGGCTGAAAGTCACACACTAGTAATGGAAGACACAGAGAGAAAATACAATAACCAGCCACTGCAGAGCTCTCCCTCGGCTCCTCTGAACATCTAATTTTTAAGAAACAAAACAGGAGTTTCTATCATTAGACTTCATCATGTGCGAGCAACTTCGCTGTCAAATACAGCTTATTTACATATAATCAGAATCAGAAAATATCTGCAACACATTGGTTCTCTATATATGTATATTATTTTTCATTTGTAATATATTTTTGATATATTGTGTAAATATGAACACAGGGTAAATGTCCCACCAGAAGAATTTTTAGTAGGCCTGTAGTTTAGCCTATTTATGAACATAATTTCCTTTAACAAGCCATTAAAAATGTTTTTCGAGTTGTTTTCTTGTTTTGAAGCTGATACATGGGTTGATTCCAACTCAACACGACTCCAGATTTTGAAATAATGAGGCCCAAATGAGTCATCTTTTCCTTTGCTCAAAAAGGAATAAATAACTCATGCTAAAGACCATTCAACATGTAATTAAAGTTAATAGACGTCACTTAATTTCAGCCACGAATCCAGTAAGCATCCAACCCAGTCCCAGGAAGCATTAAAGTAGTCAAACTGGGCATCTGGTCTTCTCCATGCAGCGAAACAAAACAAACTCAAAATCCGTCTTGACGAAAAGCCATGACTTTATCACCGATCTAGTTCCACTTCAAGTTTGGCACCTATAGACTCTGCCAGAAGCTTTGCCATGGTTGTTGTTCCTTATATAGTTTAATAATAGCAAAGGTTGTCTCCATAGTGAAAAAGAGCAGGGTTGGATAGACTGGCTGCATGCAAGAAGGACATGTAAAAGAATGTAAAAGAAAGAGGTCAGCACTTCACATTTACGAAGTTAATACTCAGTGTGGGGAGAAGAAGACGGCAATGGAGCAGACAGGGGATTCCAAACAGCATACTTGTGTCTACATAACCCCCACCCAAACACTATGAACTAAAGACAGTCATTGCAGTCCCCAGAGGCATTACATACTCTACAATGAATTTTGCCTGGTTTAAGGCAGATCCCATTGATGTCCCCTGCTTACCCTAGTGTGGCCATCTTCTCTGCCTTTGTCAGCTGATGTGCTTGTGTGCAGTTGTGGAAGGAAGAGGGAACATGCACAGATTGCTCTGTGGACAAACCTGGCCATCAGAAGTTCAATTGGAAATGGGATATATGCCAGGAAAGTCAAGAGCATGGCCTCTTCAAAATCAGCTCCTAGCTTCTTAAAGAGCTAAAAAAAAAAAAAAAATACCCTCACCATCAATCCCAGTAGTTTTAGAGGGGTGGGTGGGGATCTGCAATGGTGGGGATTGAACTGAAGGTCTCACATATGATAAACATATATTCTACCTATGAGTCACACCCCAGTTCTCATTACCTGGGTCCCCCTCTCACTGTTCTCAATGAGTTTTATGAAACTTGAATCCTCCCATCAGGATTGACAAGGAAGCTGGGATGGAAAAAACTGGAGACCAGGAAGCCATGATAGCCACTGTCCAGGCAGGCAGGAGTACAGGATTGACTGCGGGCAGTTCCCACAAGCAGATACCAGGCAAAGGAGAAGGCAGTGGAAAGACAGGTGATCAGGGACGGCTCTTGTACAACACGCAGGCACCCAACAAGATCCCTACGACCTGAAATAATTTACCCTGCCTCTTACAATGGTGTGCTCTCTCCAAGTTAGTCACACATTTGGTGTGGATTTACCATGTAGTACCACATGCCAATCCCTGGTCTGGGTGGCTGGGACATATTAGAGAGCAAAAGAAGAAACAGCCTCGCAGGGCTGACTTTATAATAGAAGATCACAGTTAGCATGACATCATTGTGAAGGCAATGTATAAAATAAGCCTCCAGAGACAGAGACAGAGACCCACACTGGAGCACCGGACTGAGCTCCCAAGGTCCCAATGAGGAGCAGAAGGAGGAAGAACATGAACAAGGAAGCCAGGACCACGAGGGGTGCACCCACCCACTAAGACAGTGGGGCTGATCTAGTGGGAGCTCACCAAGACCAGCTGGACTGTGACTGAAAAAGCATGGGATAAAACCGGACTCTCTGATCATGGCGGACAATGAGGGCTGATGAGAAGCCAAGGACAATGGCACCGAGTTTTGATCCTACTTCATGTTCTGGCTTTGTGGGAGCCTAGCCAGTCTGGATGTTCACCTTCCTAGACCTGGACAGAGGGGGGAGGACCTTGGACTTTCCACAGGGCAGGGAACCCTGACTGCTCTTTGGACTGGAGGGGGGGGGGGAGGGGAGTGGGGGGAGGGGGAGAGGGGCGGGAGGAGGGGGAGGGAAATGGGAGGCTGGGAGGAGGCGGAACCTTTTTTTTTCCCAATAAAAAATTAAAAAAAAAAAGCCTCCAGAAACCCACAATCTTGGATGACTGCACAATTGAAAAACAAAAATTCAAATTAAAGGGGGGGAAGGAAAAGAAAAACCCACATGAAAAGAAAATTAGCTTTGTGATTAGACAAACTGACACCAAAGAGAAAAAATTAAAATATAAAGAATAAAAATAAAAATAAATAAATGTTAAAGTCAGACTACATGTTATTTGAACAGAATGGCTCCAACAGTTGTATATTTCTTACTGGCAAAGGAAGCAACCTACCACGTATGTATCCATCACCCAAACAGCACAGCTCTTTATAGAAACAAAACTGATAAAAAAAAAAAAAAAACCCAGGGGGAGTCTGACAAACCCTATCATGGAAGGGAGACTGTCCAGTGAGGTCTGAAGGCTGAGCCGCAGTGGACAAAGGTGCAGGAGGACTGGATGTAGGAATTACATACACTGCTTGAGTGGCAGGAGAGTTGGTTGCTTTGACAATGAAGGAAAAGGCTTCTTCTACGGAATGTCCACAATATACTCACGACTCTTCCGTCTCCACCTAGGTGTCCGATGATAATGAGGACGCACAGTGGGCATACCTAACTCTGCAAATCAAGGGCTTTGGTAAATGACCCACCTGACATCTGAGTACTTTACAGTCATGCAAAGATGCCGCTTTTAAAAGGTGATATTTTTCTTCAGGAGCTTTCCCTAAACCAGGGAACATTGGTCTCCAGTTGAGTCAGCATGAAACAGGTATTATTAGAATTGTGTGTTTGTGGGTCTCTGTATGTTGTGTCTGTGTCTATAGGTATGAATCTATTAAAACGTGCTACGTGTGTTGTGTTTGTGAGCATGTATCTGTATTTGTAAACAGGTGTGTGTGTGCATGTGTGTATGTGTGTGGGTCTCTGTGTGAGTGTGTGTTGTGAGTCTCAGAACAAGGTTAGATTTACCAGTGTATTTTGTTGGTGCCTAAACTGCTAGAGGATCAGGTCAATTTAATTTTAATGGATATTTATTGGAAGTGTGCTATGCCATTAGCATTATAAGATGGAACCCTTTATCTCACTTAAGCCCTCTCAAAAAGCATACCATCTGAAAATTCACCAGCTATCATCTGCTTCCCACAACACAGAATCTCAGTGCGATCTTTGCAGCCAAAAGGGCAAGGATCCTGACCAATTAGTTAAACAGACAGGGCTTCCCTGACAAAGCAGTGCTAAAGCTCGGAGATAATTGTAGGCGGGGCTTTCGGATCCTACCAGTCAGCTGCACTTAATCCCCCACCAGGCACCACTCAAGCAATTAACAAGACACTGGGAATTACGGGTGGCCATGGTGACCAGGAGGAGACTACTGAATCTGGAAGGAGGAACAGGGCTTGCTCTCAGCTGCCAGGGACACTGTCCCCTTGCAGGGCAGTCTCACCAAGGGAGAGGCTGTCCCTGAGAGACAGCACCAACAGAGACCCTGGCAGCATTCCTGCCAGTGAGAGACATGCTATCATCAGGGCAACTCTTTTCAAAGGGTAACATACATTTAATAATCGCAAAGAATGTTCTGACACATACTTTAAATCGCCACAAATGACATCAAACAAATTCAAAACAAATATTTTTCAGATTTTATTAGGGTATGTGCACAACAGAAAGTTAAAAGATGGACAAAGCCACAACTTCTTGAAGGGGACCCCGAGTCTCCCTTCAAAATGTCATGTTGCAGCTCTAAGAAGACCTGTACCCTGTGAGCCTTCCCTCCCCCCAGCCTGGGAAACATTCACTAATCACTGAAGTCACTTCTGTCTGAACATTCCATAGTTTCAGGATCCATGACACGGATTTGATGCATCTATTTTTAAATATTTACATTCTCTCTGAGGGCTCGGGGTGTGATTACTAACATGTACAACAGCCCACTGATAACACAGAACAAGACTGACCACCACACAATTCAAGTTTAACCCCCGGCTGCCAATGGACTTCAACTCAGGGGGAGAACAGGTTAAAACTGCAGGAAGGAGCCACTTGACACGTTTCTGGAAGGATGGGAAGCCCAGAGTTCCCAACTGAAATAGATGGGTACTGCCAAGAACAGGTCATGTGACATCATTTTCAACATGCCCTTAAGTGAGGGGTCATCGGGGCATCTAGTTGTTGAACCCGTGGAAGATTGAGGTGTGTCTGTCCCCCTGTTTTGTGGAGAAGTTTCACAAACCACGCAGTCAAGGCCTAGGTTTGGGAGCCAGGGAACGGAAAGATGTTTTCAGGGTGTCTCTCTCAGATTCCCATGCTAAACCTATTGTTGAAGGACATGGAAATATGCAGGGGCACTAAGCCATTTCACAGGTGCTAGAAAGCTTCGCTTTCCTGTTTTCCTGATTTAGACAATGGGGGCGTTAAGAAAAAAAATAATAGGAAAAGACTTTCCTATATTTGCTTTAAAAATTTATGTTATTTTGAATCGAGTAACCTTTTGTCCTTTTTTGGTCAAATCTCATCTCTATTCCTTTAGTTTTGCCAGAAATATTTATGGGAAAACAGGATTGGAACAAAAAGACCTAAGGATCCCATCCACCTATTGAAAGTTTGGTTGGTGAGAACGGTCCACAGAAGCATTCAAGGTTAGGAACTCAAAGAGGTTAAAAACTTCATGAGGAGAAAAAGAATTCATTTCCTAAGCAGTTTGCCCAGCACCGTGAACATAAGCACACACTCAGAAATGTTCGTTTCATTCCACATTCTCCACTGTTCTGGAGAAGTGTCAGGACAGACATTCCCAGAGCTTTGCTAGTTTGTCCCTGGGTTCGAGGCTGAAAGAAGGCAGTTGACTGCCCTCTGCCAGGTGGGATTGATCCAGTTACTGTCGCCGAGAAATGCCATAGGGACACACAGTGCTATGAAGTGGTTATGATGTTGGTAATAGAGGTAGTGGGGGTGATGCGGTGATGATGGTGGTGATGATGGCTTTGGTGGTCACCAAAGCCCGAAGATGCCTACATCTGGGTTTACACCAAAGCCGGGCTAGCTAGATACCAGGGATACCTGGGGCCGGATTTCCTTTACAAACAGCATTCATGAGTCCCTCCCAAGGCATTTCTTTATGAGTAGTTCATTTTCTAAACTCCTCAAATTACTGCCTGTGGGGGTAGTGTATCACCTGTCTTTAATGATAAATAAAAACTAATGCAAAGGCCTAGGAACGTAGTTTCTGGAAAGCGCATGTCTAGCATACTTTCGGCACAGGCTACCATCACCAGCACCACATAAAAGACAGAAAGGAGTGACGGCCACCACCTGAAATTAAGGAATGAGAGGACTGAAGGCTTGAAGGTATTCCCTTCCCCTTAAACTCTCTGGAATTCTCTGGAAAATGAAGAGTGGGAAGAGATGAGTTAGTTCTAAATACAGTTGTTGTTGTTGTTTTTTCCAGGTATGGACTCAAGCAGCATTTTCTCTGCATCCTCACAGGCAAGGGACTGTTCTGTCTCTGCTCACTGATTTGTTAGCCTAACAACCTTGGTCCCCTTTGGCCAACAGAAGTTCACTTATCTCCTGCTTGGCCTCTTAGAAGCTCTAACCCAAAATTTTCCAGTCTCAAACATGAGGACAGCAAGAACAGATGGGAGGATAAAGCACTGGTTTAGGAAGGGTAGACGGCTCCCTTGACACGTGAGGCATGGTTCGGCACAAAGCTTTGGCAGGTCAGTGGCTGAGAGAGCTCTACCCACATGGGAGGGGCTGAGACTGAAAACACACTTTGAGGAAATGTGTTCATCAGTCTTCCCTGTTGTGGGTCCCACAGAGAGGAACCAGCGCCCCTGAGGGTGTTGGGGATGGGGTTTCATGTCTACGCCCTAAGTGGTTCTGGTCAGCAGCCTGAGCATAGACCAAGCAAGGCCATACAGAATTTGGACTCATTCAGTTTGTCCTCCTCACCTCAAGCCTTAAGTACAGATACTGCCATCTATGTAAAATCGCCCGGACGGTGGGCGCTGCTCTCTGTAATGGACTGGCTGCCAACCTACTGGCAACTATTGCCAGGGGTCCTGTGGCCAATGAAGTTCCCTGCCAATTAGACATGGCTTTGATCTCCCTTAGGTTCCAAACACCCAAATTACAACTGAAAGCCAGATGGTGAGCTGATTTTTAAATGCACAAATTTCAAGCACCCCACAGAGCTCCATCTTTCTCCCATCATCCTCCAACTTGTGGTTTGGAGTGGGGGGTTGTTTTGTTTGTTTTTTTTTTTTTAAGATATTTCCTCAACTCCACAGGCCTTGAATCTGTGCATTATTCATCTTCACTCCCCAGATGTCAACTTGAGGGATAGATGCATTTAAGACCGGAAATGAAAGGGCACCCTGATTTAAGAACAAAGACTCGGGATCCCATGATGGAGACACTTTCCGTGCCTCAGCTCTCTAAGTAATAGAGGCAGAAAAAAAAAAGAGAGAGAGAAAAAAAAGCCAAACCTCCATGAGACAGACCTGTGTAGCTGTGACACCAGCAGTAAGTTTAAGGGACACTTTTGCAAATGCACACTTGAAAATAAGCATGTCAATCATAAAATGGCTCTAAGCAGCTTTAACGGTTGGAAAATAGCCTCATTGTTCTCTCTTCCCCTTTCCCTTTCCTCTGCATCTCCTTTTTTTAAGCAAGCAGAGGGAACCTTCAGGGTGACTAATCCTTGATTTGATGTGTGTCACACCCACAAAACAGTGCATAAATCCTCCAGATGTACTCTTAACTGTGAACTGGGCTTCAGCTACATTGAATGACAGTATTCACAGCAGAGCCCATCCATCACCTGGTTCGCACGTCTTCTCTTACAGTCAGAATGAAAGCCTCCTATGACAGCTTCCCAGTTAGGGATGGAGACAGGGTGCCCTGCAGTGGAGTTGGGGCCTGTGCTGGCTCGAAGACAAATTGTTCTCGGGGTCTTGTTATCGTTTCTCAGTGATCAAGTGTGTGTTAACATCAGCCCATTCAGATAATTTAGTTCATATATCTGTTAATTTAACCCCTGCCACTTCCTTCTGGATTCTGCTGTTACCAAGACCTCCCACTCACTTGAAGCAACTTTCCAGCTCCCAGCTCTACTTGCCCATGAGCCCAAGACCATCAGAAAGCTCAGAATGACGGGGTAGGATGTCTAAACATCCTGCCCGCTTGCTCCTTAAGCAGTTGGTTGAACTTCCTCTCATTCTGACAGTTTCAACAATACTGAGGGGGATTGAGGGGAAATGCCAGAAGGCAAATGTACACAAAGGCAGCCATCCTGAAAAAGTCCCCATAGGAAGGGTAGAGCCTTATTCTCACGAAGTTAAATAATGAAGTGATCTTGTTCTCTATGAAGGAAAGGAATCGTTTCCATCCTAATTAGCACCAGTAGCTCCTTTTCTTCTCTGATGAATGAAGAGATAAGAAAAGTCTTTGAAACCCTCCCACCCCCACTCCCCCACCCCTGTTCGCATACCCTGATTGGGAATCAGAGGAACACATTAAAATCATTCGATTATGGATTTGAAAAGAGTATGTGAACGAGGCCTGTCAATAGCCTCAAAACTTCCCACAATGCAAAATTCACGCCCAGGCATAGCGAAGGCAGCTGGGAAATACCTGTCCATCCCAAGTGCACCAGGAAGGTGCACACTCTTTGCTGAGAGTTCAGTCCAGTCTTTCAGAATGATGTGGGTCCCCCCATCATCCGGCAGTTAAAAGTTCTAAAAGCAGTGGCAGCTGCTGGTGTTTCTATGGCCACATTGTCTTCAGCAGTCTGTCCCAGGTGTTGGGCTGTGGGAAACAAAAGATTACAGTGTTTGAAGCCACGGAACCCTGTCCCATCTACATCTTTGGGTACCTTGCCTCCACTCCATGTGCACTGGCAGCAGAGGCTAGACTGGGATGCTGAAGTTGGGTTTAACATCAAATGGCCAGCTGGCTGTTACTGTCTCTGCCTCCCACCCCACATTTGCCCACCCAGCTACCCAAGCAACTTCTGGCTTCTTTACCTGTATTGGTTCTCCAGGGCTCGGCTCTCAGCTCGCTCTGGAACCCAGGAATAGCTGTCAGCTGCATTCTGGGGCTTCTTCTTCTTTTTTATCTCCTCCTTCTTGGCTCTCCGTTTACGATAAATGAGAAGCCCTAAGGCCAGAGCCAGCAAGAGTGAGATGGCCACCACAGTGCCCAAGATGTAGAACAGAAGCAGCTTCTGCCCATCCGTGTCGCTGTCACTGTGGGCCGACACAGAATCTTCATGTGTGGGCTTGCTGTGGCCAGTGGTCATGGGGAGGTATGTACCCAACTCCATCCAGACTCCAGATGCCTCACTAGGGACTGATATTTCTTGTGGAACAGAGGTAGTGGGGGGATCTGATGGGAAGGAGGGATGCCCTGTGGCGGGTCCTCCCTAGGAGACATCCTCAGAGCCTCTGGAAGAACTGGGCATTTCAGGAGGAGGCACAGTACTCCCCTTTATGTCACCTTCGCCTTCCTTTTGGGGAGGCCTAGTTGATGGTTCTAAAGACACAGTGCCCTTGATACAAGAGACCCCATTAGGAGCCAGCTCCCAGCCTGGTGGGCAGCCACATCGGAAGGAACCTTCCAAGTTGAAGCACAGGGTGTCACACGCACTGACCCTGGAGTCCAAACACTCATCTATATCCTCACATTGGGTACTGTCTTCTTCAGACTTGCTATAGCCAGTTTTACAGGAGCAGAAGAAAGAACCATCAGTGTTATGGCAGTCATGGGCACAGGGTGAGTGGGCAGCGGCACACTCATTCACATCCTTACAGTCCTCCCCTTTGGGGTCACTGGATTGGTAGCCCACCCAACATTCACATCGGAAGCCCCCAGGAGTGTTGATACATTCCTGGGCACAGGGGGAGTTCTGGCACTCATCTATATCCACACAGTTCACTTGGCTAGAGTCCAGCTGGTAGCCACTGGGACACTGGCATGTGTAGTTTTCGCTGGGGGGTACATAATGGCATGAGCCCCCTCCTGTGCATGGGTTGGAGCTACAGGGGTTCCGAGAAACACAAGTTACTAGGTCATCCTCCAGTCGGAATCCAGGCCGGCAGCCACAGCGGAAAGATCCATCCCCACCTTCAAAGCATTCCTGCTGGCAGCCCCCATTGTTGAAATTGCAGCCAAACTTGGAGCTGTAACAGAGGGGGCCTGAGCTGCCCCAGTGGAATACACCCGGAGTCTGGGTCTTTTCCTTGCACAGGAAGTAGTAGGTCTTACTCTCAGCCTCATCCCTACAGGCTACATTGGCTGCAGAGGCAAAAGGCACAGCCTCCAGGGAGGAGGTGGTGGCCTGGAAAGGGGTGGTATAGGTCACCTGGCCTGGACCACCCAGAGAGAGGGGACTGCACATGCCTTTGAAGTTGAACTTGCACAAGAAACCGTCAATGTTACCTGGACTCTCAGGAGACCCACATAGGCTCTCATACCATTTGGGGAGATGGCTGGGGTGAGGAGTCAAGGACAGGTCCAGTATCAGGGACACACAGCGCTTAGAGGTGCAGGATTTCTTGCTCTCTTTGTACCAGTTTGAATAAGCTGTGTCCTCTCCACCACCCACCCAACTGAAGCCCTTCATTGGCAAATCGTGATACGTACACTTGCCCTTTTCTCGCTGGAGCCCGATCCAGAATTTGCCCATCTTGGCTTCCAAGGGTGGCTTGGTCTTCAAGAGCTGAGCCAGAGCTTTCTGGACATGCCGGGCCTCCTCCTCGCTCTTCACTGTGGCTAGATTGCCTCCATTCTCCTTGCAGCGGTTCTGGGCTTCAGCGGCGCTCAGCTTTCCCCAGTGGGCAGTATAGCAGGCAGTCCCCTCACACACGACAGCCTCTGAATCAGCAGCAGCCCCTGCCCAGGACTGGCCAAGCAGCAGCAGCAGCAGCAACAAACCTGTTGAGGTGGCCATTCTGCTGAGTCTCCTTCTGGGAGAGGCTGGACTCCCCCACAACGACAGCGGCCACCACTGAGTCTTGGAGCTTGGCACCCGGCTGGGCTCCTAGGGGAGCTGAGGGCTGTGCCTCTGCTGCCAAACCACCACGGCTCTGGCGCAGAGAAGGTTACAGACTCCAGGCTTTTCACGTCCCCCTGACCCAGGGCGCATCCTGTGCTCTAGTACTTCTTATTTCTCACCGGATGCTGGGGCTTCCTGCCGTGAATAGCGTTCTGACTCCTGTTGCCTTCATCACGGTTTTGTTGTTCTCAGGACAGTGTTGCTGGTCTCTGGCTCGGAGTTGTGGAAACACGGTGGCGAGTGCAGAGGAGCCAAGAGATATGGCTGCTTTATTTTGGGTTCACTCACTTTTCCCATAGCGTGAAGGGCCGCTGTGGCATGCTATCTAGTGAGCAGAAGCCTTGGGGGCTAGGGACACGAAAAGGATCATCCAAGTAACCCATAATAAAATTCCACTTCAGATTGCAAACCACCAAAAGAGAAAGAAAAATATGTGAGACTCGAGACACAAGGCCACGGACAGATAGTTTTCAGCCTTTTTTAGAAGCGAGCTAGATCTGCTTTTTTTTTTTTTTCCTATCTTGTGCCTCCCTTCTGTTTGTGGGACTCTTTTTTTCCTTTATTCTTCCAATCATGAACTTTAAATAGATAGGCAGTTTTTAAATAGGATTTGGGCCATGGGAATTTCTGGATTTTTAACAATGCCAAGCTTCCTGAGAACAAGAAACCAAATTGGGTGAAAAATAGGCCGTTTTCAGGGTTTCCTAGAGCATTGTGAAGTGCCAGGGTCACAAGAAAGATCAGAAAGACAGGAAAATGAAACTGCCCTCCCTTGAGGAAGGGGTCACATGTCTTCTACCCCAAGGCTTTGGGGAAGTTCAAAGACAGAGCCTCACAAGTGCCTGGACCAAAGCCTCCCCGCTCCCCAATCAAAAATCCTTTACCCAAGCCAGCACTGAGATGGTGGAAACTATGTTTAATTGTGCCCCCTCACTATGCTCCACCCCTCCCCAGCTAGACTCAGAAAAAGTTTTGGAGCAAGACATCAGGTGCAGCACTGTCAGAAGGAGCCCACACAGATGATCTAATGAGCCCAGCCTCCTGAGACAAGACATGGGAAAACCCAACCAGAGTCCTCCCAGCTGAGGCTCTGGGGAAGCTCTTACGTTCCCCTCTATGGTCTGCAGCTGGTTACCCTGTTCTCTAACTTGGTCTTGAGGTTCCTTTGTAAATTCCAGCCTTGGCTGACCAGACCATGTGCCCCTTCTACAGGCAAGGGTGAAGCAGGCAAATGTCCTGATAGTTATTTGTTGACCTAAATGCAGTTTCTTCCTCCAAAGGTGGCCACTGTTTGGCTGGGACTAGAGTGTGGTCGTGACATACTAAGAGAGTAAACCAACAGAACACAGAAGTAACAGGTTTGTGTTACCACAGATCCTGGTGTTAGACCCAGATTCACAAAGTTGCCCAAAAACCAACAAGGAGATGGAGTCCCATATGTAAAAGCAAAGAGCCTTTATATTATGCAAGATTGCAAACTCGGTCTCTCCACATGTCCAATGTATTGGAATAAATGGAGAACCCCGAGCTCAGTTAGAGTTGGGGTTTTATAGTAGTAAAAATGGGGGTGAGGGATTTCTAAGGTTCAGGACCCCTGATTGGCTGACATTTGTCTAGGGGTGTCCTGGTGAGAGTGCTGGCAGATGATCCTATCTACAATGGTTGGAACACTTGGCATTTCCTTTGGGTGGTCTGTTCGTGGGTGGTGCTCGGGCAATCTCAGTTTGTGGTTCTTCCTGCAACCAAGTATTGCTTCAGGGTAAACTACTGAGATTCAGGCCTCCATCAAACTTATCAGTGGCTGAGTCCTACTTTGGCAGGTGATAATGGTTGGAAGAACTTCCTTTGGGTGATCTGTTTCTATTTAGCTTATCATGGCTGGTTCCTACACCCAGAACCAATGGGAAGTGGGAGTTTAGAGACACTGAAAAGGAGAGGGAGGGGCAGAGAGAGAAGGGGGAGGGGGCAGAGAGAGATGGAGGAGGAAAAGAGGAAGAAAGGGAAGAAGGAGAGAGGGAGGGAGTATCAAAATCTTTACTGGGGTTCAGGATGTTGTCTAGGTAGGTTTTTTAAAGGCAGTACCATCTGGGGTTCAGAACAAATAGGAAGGATTACCAAGGATTCACTTAAACCTCTTTCTCAGGTATCCATAGAATTCCATCCACCTTTATCAACCCGTTCACCTAATTTAATCAGCCATCCTCTACCTACTTAGCCATCCACCAACCCTTCCATCTACTCATCCATCTACCAGTATGACAACTTTTCATAGTGTATGCTAGGCTAAACACTAAATTCCAGGGAGGATTTCTTGCCTTCATGATTTCAAGTATGTATAAATTTGAATAATTGGTATAAAGTCACTTTATTGAAGTCAACATAAGGCGAAGTACAGGGTGGCAGAAAAGACCATTATCAGGGTCATAACCTGGTAGCACGAGGTAGGCATTATGGAAGGGGACAAGACAGACAATGGAGTACGATTCTATGGCAGTGGTTCTCAACCTTCCCAATGAACCCAACCACAAAATTATTTTTGTTGCTACTTCTTAGCTGTAATTTTGCTACTGTTATGAATCATAATGTAAATATTTGATGTTCAGGGCAACAGATATGCAACTCCTGAGAAAGGGGATCATGACCCACAGGTTGAGAACCACTGCTCCAATGGGTGTGTGTGTATATATATATATAAAGTATATTATATCTGTATATTATATCTGGATATCCTAGTATATTATATAGTATAAATATTATATATACACATATATAATATAAGATGTATGTGTGTGTTGTGTGTGTATGTGTATCTAAGAATTATGTCCATGTGGGGAGGAGCATACACCAAGGCCTTGTGGACAAGAGAATGAATGTTGGACTGTAAGCCTTGAGCCTGGGGTATGACAGACAGAATACAGAAGATGGAGCCCTGTGAGGACAAGTGGTTTGGGATTTTCTTTGGAATCTTTTGGAGAAAACCGAGAAGACATCATAAGACAATTTTATAGACCAAGGGTACTGGTGTTATAGACCACTCAGCAGGCAAACTTGGGTTTCCAGGACAAGAAAGGGATATAGGGACTGAGCTGGTCCTGATTGGGTCAATAGGTTTGAGAAATGTTGGAAATTCAGAGCCAGCTGCTGTTGGTGTTGTGTGCTACGAAGTATGGGGTGCTTCTTTGGCTCCTGTTGATAGCTAGGGTCCTAGAAGTCTGTGTCCATTGGAAGTATGGGTGTGAGGTCTGGGATGGAGAACAATGGAGAGGCATACTTCCTGGTGTCAGCATCTCCCAAGTCCTCTTTCTTATTGAGGACCTACTTCAAACTCTCAGTTCAGCCCGAGAGAAAAGGAAGATCCAGACTGGGAAGGAACTAGGAAGGTGATGTCCTTGGCTCCAGGGCTATGGTTTTGGGCTTGATGAAGTTCAATACTCACCTTGTACCTCCTAGAGAATCTAGGTTTCTAAAGGTGGGTCACTTCTTAATATTTATAATAACTTTGGTTTTGGGTGGCAACATGGGATAGCATTGATTCATAACCTTATCCTGGTTGAGATCTGTGACTGTTCAGTCCAGGACCAATTTCTTCATTAACTCAACACCCTATAGGAGTTTTCCAGCATATCCTATTGTTACAACTTAAAGACATAGGCTGACATAATACATGGGGAAGTGCTTAGTCTTAATGCAACTTGATAAGCCATGTTTTATTGATACTCATAGGAGACCTGCTCTTTCTTGGATGGAGAAGAAAAAGGAGAGGATTGGAGGGCGGGATGGGAGAATGGGTGTATGGGTATGGGAGGCAAGGATGAGGGGAGAGGCTGTGATGGGATGTAAAATTAATAGATGAATAAAAAAATTCAGACACAGGCTGAATGAGTAGCTAACAGTTTGTTAACTACTCTGGCCCACAGATTTTTTGCTTATATTTCTTAGGTAACATATCTTGGTCTTCTACAAAGGAACTTCCAAATCTACTATTTTCCCTTAGCCACATGTATTCATATCAATATCTTAAAGAAGGCAGCCATCTCGGAGGAAGTGTGATTTGCTTGTATACCCAGTAGCATAGGAAGATATTTCTGCAACTCACACTACAAAAGAGATTCATGATTCCCAGTGGTCTGGCTGCTTGACCTCAGTTTTTACCCCTTTCTTTTGTAAATAGAGACAGAATCTGGGCCACAGTAAAATCCTGCCTTATTCTCCTTTCTTTCTTTCTTTCTTTCTTTCTTTCTTTCTTTCTTTCTTTCTTTCTTTCTTTCTTTCTTTCTTTCAGATTTCTGTCTCTTCCCCACCGCCGCCTCCCCTTTCCCTCCCCCTCCCCCAATCAAGTCCCCCTCCCTCGTCAGCCCGAAGAGCAATCAGGGTTCCCTGCCCTGTTATTCTCCCTTCTAAAATAAGGGGGAAAGCTAGGAAAGAGCAGCATGGGGCTTCGGGGGCTCACACTCTAGGTCTGACAACATACCTCATAAAGCCTCTCTCTGAAGCACACATGTGAACTTGTCCACACAACATACAAAGTAATTCTCCTTGTTATTCACATCTCCTTTTTAATAACTGTCCTCCTCCTCTTTCTCCTCCTCCTCTTAAGGCAGGGCCTCAAGGAGCCCAGATTCCCTCCAAATTGCCACTTAGCAGAGGATGATCCAACTTCCCATCCTCTACCTCAAAATGCCGGGATTACAGGTGAGCACTACCACAGGCGGCCATCCTCCCTTGCTTGTGGAAACCTGTTGGGCTTTGTTAGGCTGATCTACTGAGGAGGTGGCAGACGTCACTGGGAACCCAGGGTATGCCTGAGATCTCAGGAGGAGGTAGCAGTCCTTAGATAGGATCTGGCTGCCGCTTCTCAGATATTTACAATAGGTTGAAAGAAAACCTTGAGAAACTTTGTGGTACCTCACATGCTAAAATCCCCCATGGATACTGGCTGGCCACAGTGCAGATTTATCAAGCTTCTCCAAGGACTTATCCTTAAATAGCAGGAATCAGCAGCAGCTCAAAGTCCAAGCGTGCTTTCTTTGTCAGGTCTTAGAAAAAAAGTCACATCCACTGTTGTAAAACTCTCCCAAGCCTGGAGGGAGCCCGGAGTCTTGGCCTCAAGTTATCTGTTTCTACGCTGCAGTCTTGCTGAGTACTCTGAGATTTCTTTCTGAATTAATTTAAAAATGTTTTTTCCCATCACACTGGGAGTGGAATGTTCTGGTCTGTAATCTGGGGACAGTTCAGTCTTATTTGGTAGATTAGTTGCTTGGTGGTCATTCAGGCATCTATCTGGCTTCTCTTTTTTTTTTTTCCTGCAAGGTCTAGAAACAGCCTTCCTTCCTCTCAGCAGTCGCCTCCCTCTGGTCCCCTTCACTGTGCCCCCCGCCCCCCGTGCATGACCACTCTCCTCAGTGTGTTTCTTCTTCCGTGAATGCCCATTGAGCACCCACTGTGCGCTTGGCAGCATCTCTACATGGGGTGAGGGCTTGGGCGGGGCACTGCATTGTGAACCTCATAGCAGATGGGATGGAGAAGGGGAAGAGAATAGCCCCAGTGACCTCAACAGCTGCAGGTGTCCGTGAGCAGAGGGGTCAGCACACCCCACAGGGGGCCCCACCAGCAGCTAAACACCACCGGGTGGTGCAGGCTGAACACCTAACAGATGCCAGGAAGCAGGTGGTGATTCGTGCACAGAAAATTTCAAACTGATGAAAACAAGGCCAGGGCTTTTATTTAAGTATTTTAAAATTTTTTGTTTGGTTTGGTTTTATGTGTGTGGGTATGTGAACCTGCCTGGGATGTCCAGAGACCAATCTCAAGGTCCTCGGATAGCCCTCACCTTGTGAGACTGTGAGATATAGTCTTCCTCTGAGACCTGGAGCTTGCTGATTAAACCAAACTGGCTTGCTTGCAGGTCCCTGGAATTCACCTTCCTCTGCCTCTAGAGCTGGGATTACAGATGTGCACTGCTGTGTCTAATCTTTATTTGACTTCCAGGTATGGAACTCAGGTCCTTATGCTTGAATGGCAGCTTTCCAACTAATCTATCTTCCCATATTTTTCTTGGTTTTTGGAGACAGGGCCTCATGCAGTAAGGTCAGATCTCGAACTCACCTTGTAGCTAAGGCTATCCTTAAACTCCTGATCTTCCTTGGACTAGGATTACAGACATGTACCAACATGTTCAGCCTTTTTTTAAGATTATCTTTTGATTTCTGCTGTGTCTCAGCAGGGTAAGCCCCTTCCACCCTCAGGAAAGCCTTTGCTGGTCTAATCCTTAGCACTGTGACCCACCATGTGTCACCAGTACACAAGTAAGCTTCACATGAGGCTCTCTTTGTTACGTATTCTTTTATAAGCAGAGGTTAATTAAGAGACCACAGCTGCAGAACATGTCTGCCTGTGTGACTTAACTCTGTCAACTAGTGAGGGCTTAGCTCCCTAACTTACACAGAAGCCAGGACTACCCAGAATCAGGATTTCGCAAAACGTA